CCAACCCTAGCGAGACTGCTGGCAATCCGAACTAGCCACGGAGACTTTGCATGGTACCACCGGGAAGTTCCACCATGACAACGCGACTCTGAAGTGCTCCTGCGGAGCGCCCAAAGACCCCCTTGCACATCGCACTATGCCGGAAAACCACAACAGCGAACGTCTTCCAGCGCTGGCCAAGACGGCCACCAGCACCGCCTAGGACACCTAGCGAAGCAATCAAGTACCTCCAGACGCTCTGGGAAGAGCCAGAGGACTTTGCCGCCTTCCTAGAAATCACAGGTTTCTATAACACAATATATAGGCCTCACTAGAGCCTACACTTGTAAGACTTTTCCTGTCTTCCTATTTTCTTTCTTTCTCTTCTCTCTTTCTCTTCTCTCTCTTCTCTCTCCTTCTCTTCTCTTTCCTATGTCCTCTATACTACACACTCCTTAGTAAGCATCAGCTACGACAACTAAAGGCGGATACACACCTACTGCACAATCATTTCAGTGGCGATCAACAGGCGGAACGACCACTACTAGACCACTACAATCATGTAAATAAGAATAGGCATCCTAGGCATAGTACGGCAAGCCATAGGCATAGCCCGTCTACATGCCCCAAGGGAGGCTTTATATATAGACGTTAAATACAACTCACTCACTCACTCACTCCGCGCGGACGGCAGAATCGTCACAACGCAGCTGCCTGGCCGTGCATCTTAAGCGAGCTTTCAGCTACAGTAGCGTGCTGAGATGTCTACGAAGGAGCTCGTATTTAGTGAGGAATCAGGCCCGTGCGCTCCCCACCAAATGCTGCAGCGCACACAGCACAGATAGTTTTCAATTAATTATATCACCACTACCACGTCTAAAATGGGTATGAAACGCCGTAAACCTTTCCAGTATAAGCAGACACCTAAGAAGAAAGTTATAAAAACTTCCCGCACTGAAATACCACCAATAACGCGTGCATTTATCGCCGGTGCGGTTCTCTTTAGAAATGCCTCACAACACGCCCTCGCGCGCGCCCTCTACCGCCCCTAGGGCACTATATCGAAGTTACTGAGTCGGGTAAAGGATAGAGCAGAGGCAGAAGGCTTTAATTTATAGGATCCTACTCTATATCTAAATAATATTAGGCGTGGAAGGCGGAGATCTTAACGTGTAAATAGAAAGACAAGATTATCCGTATCACTACCTAAGACCGCGATTACCGCGAGCAGGAGAGTTAGCAGGCAATTGCACATAATAACTTCAACTCTATTATATCCTAGATTAGTGTTAAAACCTTTAAAAAATGTAATGTACGAGGCGGGATATAAGAGAAGAAAGCCAAGGTAGAAGCCTCCGCTAACATCCACCCAGCGCCGCCAACGTCTTTAATAGGTCCTTGCCCACAATCTAGATTAGTATAAGGTTAGTGATAGGCTTAGATTTAACTTTCGTAAGGTTGTTTTTACTAATAAGACACTAGTAAGAGTAGGAGAAGAGTGCAGAATAATTAGAACTTAGGCTCGCGACGATAAGATCTACAATAACGACGTCCGCTATAATCGCAACCGCCACAACTGCTGCCTCTAGTTCTTTAGAGCCTTTAGATATGACTATAAAGGTTCTTGCCACGTCTACTTTCGAGAAACAAAAGAAGAGAAAGAGGTGACGGAGGCGGCGCTGGCGGCGGAGAATATACTCACCCGAACATCTTCAAATCTTATGCAACGCCAGGCTCGCGCAGCCCTCCAAGAGCTCGGCGAACTCGATATCAACCTCCAGAATAATACAAGAAGGCTTCAGCATATTAAGAAACATAATTATCACCGTGGGATATGCTCAAAGGGTGGTGCTGATGGGTATCGCCACCGCGAAGGCGCACTCAAAAAGATTGCCCCATGGATCAATTCACTTAAAGATCGTGGTATACAGTGTATATTACTCGAAGATGGAGCTCCTCCACACAAATCCCGTATCGCCAACGACTATCTCAACGTACAAGGCATTGAAAAAATGGTGTGGCCTGGCCACTCTCCAGATATAAACGCATCAGAGCATGACTGGCCTTGGATACGGCGACACGTAACGCTGCAGTTCACTCCTAGCTGTACAGCCGAAGAGTTTAAGAGCCAGTGGGAGATAGAGTGGAAAAATCTACCTATTGAGATGATTAATAGGTGGGTGATGGGCGTGATAGAGGTGGTGCGGCGGATTATCGCTCATGAAGGAAAAAACGACTTCCACGGGTAGTCGCAACACAAAAAAATCGGCCAGTATATAGTTTTACATACAATCAAATAGCCTCACGAATTTCAGCAATTTTTTCCATCGCGTTGGTGTTGATATTTCGATATTTTGGGTGGGCGCGGCATCAAATTTTGGAAGGGGGCGCACGGACCTGATTCTTCACTAAATACGAGCTCCTTGGTACAACCCTTGCTGCGCGCTGTGGCTAAGCACTGCGGCTTTAAGTAGTTATTGTGCCCCAGGCAGCTCTTGTTTCTGGCAGCACTTCCCTAGTCGTGTATACGCGTTTACTGCTAGGGAGTAGCAAGCTCAATCTAGCACTGCTCTTTAGCAGCGTATTTAACTTCTCCCCTAAAGCATGTTATATTATGTCTAAAGCGCATGCGATACGGTATCGGTTCTGCATTGTCACGACTTAGGTCGTGCCGGAAGCTTGCGGCGAGCTACGATGACAACTTTTGCTTGTACACTCTGCCTGCTTACTCTGCCTGCTTACTCTGCCTGCTTACTCTGCCTGCTTACGCTTTACTTATGCGTGCACGTTTTCTAAGATATATCGATAAGGCAAACACTGTCCAAGTGCAGACTGTGAGGCGGAATGGCCCTGAGTGATCCACGTATTCAGCCCCCTCAGCCTAGCTAGATACACTGCCTCCCAAGGCTGCCTTCATGGGAGCCCAGTTTAAGCTTGTTCTGCCTCGTTATAGTCTTATTATTATACACCCAACTCAGCAAAACTACTCACTCTCCTCTTTCCTTAACTAAAATAAGGCCACACACTCCATGCGACTCCTTCACTTTGACGCGTTGAGCAGGCTCGTCCTGACAGATTTTCGCGGCAAACGCATTCCACCCTACGCCATCCTATCGCACAGATGGAGCGACTCAGAGATCCTCATCGAAGACATAACAAGCAAGACGTATAAGGAGAAAGAGGAAGGCTATAAGAAGCTTATGTTTTGCGCCGGGCAGGCGGCACAGGACGAGCTGCAGTACTTCTGGATCGACACATGCTGCATCGACAGATGGAACAACAACGAGCGCTCAAGTGCCATCAACTCCATGTTCCAGTGGTATAAGAATGCGACGCGATGCTACGTCTTTCTGTCAGATGTGTCGGTGTCGACTGCAACAAAGCTGGTACAGCGCAGCGACTGGGAGGCGTCGTTCCGTGCAAGCGCATGGTTCACCCGCGGGTGGACACTGCAAGAGCTAATTGCGCCATTATCAGTGGAGTTCTTTTCGCGCGAAGGACTGCGCATAGGCGACAAAACGTCGCTCGATCAACTACTCCACACTATCACTAGCATTCCGCTTACAGCACTGCGCAACTATCCCCTTAACCAATTCAGCACATCTGAGCGCATGCGATGGGCTGAAAATCGCGTAACGACTGAGAAAGAGGATATAGTATACTGCCTACTTGGACTTCTTAGCGTCTCTATGCCTGTAACGTATGGCGAAGGACAGGAGAGCGCATTAGAAAGACTGCAGGCTGAAATACAGGGAGTTAGCAGCGCACCGTCTATCATTCCGTTCTCGCGTAACAAGTCTTTTGTGGGCCGTGAACTGCAGCTTGCGGAGCTAGAGGCGAAGCTCTTCAGCAATAAGCAAAGCACTACCACCCTAGCGATCGTTGGGCCTGGCGGAACGGGCAAGTCACAGCTTGCGCTCGAGGTTGCACACCGAGCAAGGCAGCACGATGTAGATTGCGCGGTGTTCTGGATGGATGCGAGCCACAAGGACAGCCTCTACCAGTCGTATGCAAGCGTTGCGCAGAAGCTTAGTATCCCTGGATGGAATAATAGTGATCTGGCAGATATGAAGCAGGTCATAAAGCACTGTGTGGCAGAGCTGAGGGAGCGGCAGTGTTTGCTGGTGTTCGACAATGTAGATGACATCGCTCTACTATCTAGCAGCTCGTCAACGGTAGATGCGACAGGCTTAGCTGACTACCTGCCACAGTCCACACGATGTTCTGTGATCTTCACAACAATAAGCACCAAAATAGCTAAGACGCTTGCTCCACAAAATGTTATAGCGTTACATGAGATGACGGCAGATACGGCGTTAAGAATACTGCAAAACAGTTTGTCAAGGCCACTCTCACCTATAGAGCAACAACAGTCGGACCTCTTGCTTAGAGAGCTTTTGTACCTGCCTATAGCAATCGTGCATGCAGCCGCGTGTATGAGTGCTAGTGAGATGACTGTGCAGGAGTACGCAACACAACTCGACAAGCACAAAAGCATAGTTCACGAGTACAACAACGACTTGCTCGAGCACAGGCCGCAGAACTGCGGTCTAGGAAGCCCTATTGCTGCTACATTATCTCTATCTATCAGCCAAGTTCGCCATAGAAACGCGATCGCTGCAGACTATCTTTTCCTTGCTGCATGCGTGGATCGAAAAGACATTGCGCTCGACCTTCTTGAGACATCGTCGCTGCAGGCCCGGGAAGATTCCATTAAGGTGCTGGACAAGTATGCGCTTATCACTAGGCGCCCGGCCGAATCAGCACTAGATGTCCATAGGCTGGTGCATGATGCTCTACGTGCTAGACTACAAGCTCAGGGACAGCTCCAACATTGGACTCAACGCGTTATTACACAGTTAGTCCAGGTGTTTCCGAACGGTGATCATAGTAATAGAAGCAAGTGGAGGCGCTTACTTCCGCATGCCCTATATACTCTTTCGTATAGTCAGACAGACGATAACGACAAGAAAAGGCTAGATCTTGTATGGAAATGTGCCATGAGTCTATACGATGATGGGAGGTACAAGGAAGCTGAAGAGCTGTTTGTGCAAGTGATGCAGACGAGCAAGAGAGTGCTTGGTGACGAGCATCCAGACACGCTGACCAGCATGGCCAACCTGGCGTCGACGTACTGGAACCAAGGGCACTGGGGCAGGGCCGAAGAGCTAGATGTGCAAGTGATGCAGACGAGGAAGAGAGTGCTTGGTGACGAGCATCCAGACACGCTGACCAGCATGGCCAACCTGGCGTCGACGTATAAGGACCAAGGGCACTGGGGCAAGGCCGAAGAGCTGTTTGTGCAAGTGATGCAGACGAGCAAGAGAGTGCTTGGTGACGAGCATCCAGACACGCTGACCAGCATGGCCAACCTGGCGTCGACGTATAGGGACCAAGGGCACTGGGGCAGGGCCGAAGAGCTAGATGTGCAAGTGATGCAGACGAGCAAGAGAGTGCTTGGCGACGAGCATCCAGACACGCTGACCAGCATGGCCAACCTGGCGTCGACGTATAAGGACCAAGGGCACTGGGGCAAGGCCGAAGAGCTGTTTGTGCAAGTAATGCAGACGAGGAAGAGAGTGCTTGGCGACGAGCATCCAGACACGCTGACCAGCATGGCCAACCTGGCGTCGACGTACTGGAACCAAGGGCACTGGGCTGAGGCCGAAGAGCTGTTTGTGCAAGTGATGCAGATGAGGAAGAGAGTGCTTGGTGACGAGCATCCTTCTACGCTAAATAGCATGCACAATCTTGCTTATACGCTGCATTCACAAGATCGTCGAGAGGAGGCTCTTTCGATGATGGAAAGATGCTTCCAGTCGCGCCAGCGCATTCTTGGAATACAACACCCTGATACGCGGTCGTCACTCGAGGCGCTGAGCGGTTGGTAAGTAGAATAAATTCAACGACTTATAACTAACACGTTTACTATATATGTTACTAGGTCGTGAAGTTACGTGCGTTTAAGCTTATTAATCTAATATAGCCTTTTAGGGGTTTATTAATGTAATCTATTTACTAAATACGCATCATCTGTCTCAATTGGTACTTGTCGAGAGGGTTTGTTGACATAAACTAGAAGGGTAGTTAACTAGTTAACTAGCTTTTTGTAACTCACGTGCGCGACTAGGCAAACGCCTGTCCGTAGGGCCTGGAATAAGAGCTACCCAGAACATCACTCTTAGAGTCATAGTCCTCAGCTACGGCTCGCAGTAAGGGTCGCAGATATCTTAACACGCTACTGCATGGCCAATATCGCTTGAGACGCACGGCTGGTCAGCCACATTCTAACGATCCTGCTATCTATGCGGAGAAACTGCCAGACTGCATAGTTCCTACCTTGAAGTAATCTTTCATAGCTGCAGTCTTAATTACTGCCTTCTTAGCTTACTCTTCAGCCCGCCGAGCTCGTCGCGGCTGTATATTATCGCGAACGAACAGGGGGGTTCTTATAAAAGGGTTAATTAACGGCATAAACGAGAAGAGCGACAGCACAGTCAACACGAGTTTTATGCGCGTCGGAGGCTGATATGTTAAAAGAGCAGCACTTATATATGTAACAGGGTCGCATCGCGCACACCTGTTTATAAGTACACTGAAGATAGCCCGAACGCCCGGAAGAAAAAGCGTCCCGTCACACCGGGTGTTCCCAGCTCGCGAGGATTGACATTAACGTCTGTCCCTGTGGGTCGAACATCCCTCCGCAACGAACCACCAATATTGCTTAAGTACATTACGTCCAAGCCGCACATTTTTATACAGTTAAGAAAATCTCTATATACTATTTAAACCTACCTCTACCTATTAAAAGCTCTAAACAGCAAAATTACATGCTCCTGTATTGCGTTCTCTAGTGTTTTGTCTTCATCATTGAAGCTACGTTACTTAGACACCCCTGCTCCATCGCAAGAAACACTATCGATTAATTATTTAGGGCTTCCCTAGGATACTAAGCTAACTAAAGAATACAATCTCTATTTTGCATCGCGTGCAGCCTTTGTCTAGAAGTGCTCCGAGTTATTCTGGCCTGCTGTAACTCTCGTTCGCTTTTCGCGAAAGGACTTCGCGTGCTGACAAAGCAGGTTTTGAACAATTAGCGGCCTGCAATATACACCTGCGCTATACTAAAACAGCTTAAACTGTGGCGCAAAGCTTAAGAGGCTTCATCCAGCCACCACTTAAGCGCGCGGTCGCTTGCTGCCTATTCTTAAAAGTCGATTAACTACGATTACTAACACAACTTGGGGTGGCTATTTAGCGCGGTCGCTAGCGCGTGTGGGGCAAGTCTGTGCGAAAGCTAATGATTGTGGCGCTGCGATTACTTAGGATGGGGGCACTTTCGGAGATGCTACTCGTGATAAACTCTGGTAACACCTCTTAACAAACGACCTGCTAGGGTGGGGCGCGCTAGGTGGTATTGAAGAGAAACACTAGCGCAGCATCTCCCAGACGGAACATTTTGCGGTAGCTTGTTGGTCTCGTGCACACATGCTGGAGCGGGGTTGGTGTTTGGCGTTCCTAACACAACAAACCAGCTGGCGGAGTAAGCAAAACGCCGACAATTATCTATAGAGTTTTCCCATTCCTCTCCTAGCCATCCACTACCTTTTGTGCCTGATTGTAAATGATACACCTGCTATTGAACTAATCGTCCAAATGGCCCTTCGCTTAGCTGATCTTCTTAAGTGTTTCTGTGGCCGCACCTATACGTATGCGATTGATCTAGAAGAATATCGAAGAGCGCGAGGGCACTTTCCCTCACATGTCTGTAGAGCAAGATAGCCTGCATGCTTATATCGTGAGATCAGATCGGGCTGGAACGACACAGTAGTAATTAGGAGTGTTCACATGTTTATGCGTCATGCGCTCCAGCTCCGTAATTTGTTATGCAGCTATCCACAACATGTAGTCTTCCTAATCATCTCTAATTTTGCGTCGCACCTACCTTCTCTGATAGGATACACAAATTTTCAGCTGCTAAGAGATAATTTCGTTGATCGCCGCAGCTGTGGTGTTGATGGAGGCTAATGTGAGCTGCTGAACCTAATGAAGATCCTAAAGCTTGTTTTAGCAACACCCTAACAGTCACAGGTTACGCAATGAGGCATCACGATGGTACGCAATAGGTTTGTGATAGGCTATCCTAGAAGACCCATCTTTCGTGGTCCCGATTCTTATAGCCACCGCAACATATTGTCTTATGCGTCACTAGTCTAATACCCTGCCTCGCTCTGTATTAGCACTTACAATCCAGTCTAGCTCCGCATTGAATGCGAGGTATGATCTAAATTCTACGTAATAATAATAATAGTAATAGTCGCAGTATGTAACTAGTACGCCCACATATAAGTAGAGCCCTCCTGGACCACTCCTCTAGTCTCTCTACCCTCCTAGATTTACACTTCAAGCCTCTTTTAATCATACGCTCAACCTCCAATATGAAGTTCTCCACTGTTGCATTTACGATCGCCACATTCCTAGCTACAAGTACCTGGGCCGCTCCAGCCGAGACAACAGCCTCTGAAAATAAAGTATCAAACATGCCAGAGGGTATCTCTGGCGCGGTTGTAGGACCAGATGGTACTTTCTTAGCGGAAACCTCAGATGATTGTGGTGCCAACTCCTGTCATGGTTTTGGAGGTGATGACCTTTGCAATGACCGCGTAAGTCCTTAAAGTATTTAATAGGACTAAGAATTCGTTTAACCGTGCAAATAGTGCAAACACTGTCGTTATAAGCGCGGCTCCTGCTGTGGTAATCTTTGGCAGTAAGTATACCAGATGTTGATTGCCAGAAGGTTCTTAATTCGATTCTGTGTAGAGCTTGCTGCTGCTTCTACAGCTAAAATACCAAAGAGTCTATTAGCTTAAAACATATGACAGAAGGGCAGAAAATTAGATAAATTAGTTAAAAAATTTCTGAAGTACCAAGGTCCGTCCCTACGTGGCGAGACACCCTGTGTGCCGAGACAAACGAGGGGTACCTTGACTTTCAGCAACTGCAAAATCTATGCGTATACTGGGGCCCAACGGCTGCTGTAGCAGAATTTAAATGAAATTGCCCGTGCTTCGCACGGGCCTATCACCTCAACGATGATGATCACCTCAATGATAACACGTAGCTTCTAGCACATACATCTACCACAGGAACGCATAATTAAATGAACTTGACTATGCATATCGTTTTTACCATGCCTAAGGTTAATAAGAGAAAGTCTGTATATAAAGAAGAGGTGGTGGTGTTGCAAAAGCACGCCGAAGCGTTACGCCTACTCCATCAACCTAACATCAAAAGCTATGCAACTACCCACAACTTGCCATATCAGCGCCTGCGACGCGCCTATCTTGGACTTCTGAATCGCTGTGATCGCGCTAAGTCACCTGCTTTATACCGGCTTAACGAGTCTCAAGATTTCGCTCTTGAGCGGTATCTTGATGCTATTGACAATATTGGCTTTGGTATTCATCATGGACTAGTTGAACAGCAGGCAAACTCGCTCCTTAAGGATGCGTATACAGGACTATATGAAGTTGCGCCTAAGGTTGGCAAGCTTTGGGCACGACGATGGCTCGCAAGGTACCCAAAATATAGACGTGTAAAGGCAAAGTCAATTAAGGTACAGCGTAAGCTTGCCCAGAAGCCGGCAGCGCTCCTTGACTGGTATACTAGGCTTAAAGACCTTATCGACGAGCGCGGTATCTTGCCTGAAGATATCTACAATATGGATAAGACAGGCTGCCGCATTGGTGTTGCAAAAGAGCAGTACTTATACACCAAAAATGGACGTACGGTCTTTATCCACAACGCCAACAATCGCGAGCTTATTACCCTTGTTGAGTATATCCGGGCCACAGGCGAGGTTATTCCACCTCTTATCATCGTCAAAGCTGCTACTGTGATGGAGCATTGAATCGTGGATCTACCTGATGGGTATCTTGTAGGCGTGTCTGATAGTGGTTATAGTAACGACAAACTTGCGTACGCCTGGATTCAACACTTTAACAAGGTGACAAGCCGTAGTCGCCATGGAGCTTGGCGCTTATTGCTAATAGATAGGCATAAGTCTCACTACACAAAGCAGTTTTGTCAGCTTGCTGAAGACAACAAGATACAGCTCTTTGCCCTCCCACCTCATACAACCCACCTCCTCCAGCCTCTAGATGTGGGTTGGTTTCAACCGCTCAAGTGGTATCACGGCAAGACGCTTGAGTACGCCTCTCGTACAGGCTCGCGCGACATCAAAAAGGCCGACTTTATGGCTACAATAGAGGAGATCCGGTGCTTAACGTTTACAAAGTCTACAATCTGCTCAGGTTGGCGCCGTACAGGCATAATGCCGTACAAACCTGACATGGTGTTAGCGCATCTTCGCACCTAAGAAGGTTGCTACTCTAGCAATAGTGATCGTAATTTAGCTACGCTCTGTAGCCTTTCAAGCGCTACTAGCAGGATAAAGGTTCTTCTTCGCTTTACTAGACAAGTAACGTAATCTCGGCCATATACTTTCCGGCCACCCCACCAAAAAGCGTACCCCGATTTCAACACGCGATATCTCAACACAACAACGTTTATATCAGAGGGGCTTTACAAGCACCATGCAGAGTCTTAGGTTGGATCCGAAGGACCAGAAGGACCAGGCGGGGGTTGTGTCTCGCGTTTCGAAGCACCCAAAGGAGATAAATACGCGCGCACATCTCTGCAAGCGGAGTAATCTGACTCAATCTTCTCCAAAAGTACGCCCGCTTATTAAACCCTCTTCACAATACTCGCGAACCACAAAGTGATTAAGCTCTAGCGGCATGGGCGACTTATTGGAAGCAGACATTACCTCCACGCTCGACGCGTTGGTGGCTGACGGAGTGGTTGTGTGCGGACCCTACAAGACCATCGACTGCGAGGATGAAGGCTACCCAGTAAGAGTTCAACACCTGGCGAGGATGTAGACTATGCTGATCACAAGACATCTCAGGTACAGTTTAGAATTTGCCCTGCCCTCTTGACGAAGCCTCACACTGTAGGCGCAGCGCTTAGCCCCGCTTTCGATAAAAGTCGCAGATGGGGTCCAGGCAGCGACATGATCCTCCCGAACGAACGGATCATCATTACACAGCTGAATGGCACGCACAATTTGGCCTTAAACTTGTTCTGTGTTGATAGACCTCAGCTTCTAATTTTGACTCTGGACTCCTATTAAAGGCAGCATCAGCCTCTCGATAGCAACGACTTCACGGCTACGCTAGAGGTGTTGAGACAATCGCCTAATATGTATGTTATCTACAACTGCAGCGAGGCTGGTGGATGTAGTCGCATGCATAAGCACTTGCAGGCACTTCGAGGGCCACCACACGCGTTCGATGCTTTGATAAGTCCCAGCGAAGCAAAGTCGAAAAGGACTCCTTTTCAATATTTTGCGCACTGCTTTAATCAAGGCTTCAAAAGAGCGTCAACGTTAGATTTGTTGGACGTATACGCCAAGTTTTTGGATCAGACCCGAAAGGTTCTTGGCTTGGTTGAAGGTGATGTATGCCCCCACAACGTTGTTCTTTGGGGGGATTGGATCATCGTGATTCCTCGGAGAAAAGGGATTTGGAAAGGAGCAAGTGCCAATGCTGCAGGTATGGTCGGATCTATATGGGTTCCAGAAAAGAAATATATAGACAACTGGCTACGACTCGGGTCTGCAAATGTGTTATGAGAGCTTGGTATTCCGCTATAGGCACGTTTCGGCTACCCACACCCTACTGTCCAGATCGCCTAGACCCCCCTAGAACCAATCTTAGCTTTTCAGCCTTCTCACCCCCTGCTTCTAGGATTTATTGATCTGCCTCCCCGACACCCCAGTAAGGCAAGCGTTTTATCAAGCATTCTGGTGAACCTACACCTATGCACACGCAATTTTCTGTATTCCATTTATGTCTGGAGGGTGTCAATTTGCTTTCGCTAACAAACTTTTTCGATTTTCAAAGTTTTTCTGACGCAGCCTGCTACCTATCGTTGTATAATAGGTAGGACGGATAGAGTTTAAAATAAGACTATAAATATATCACCTTAGCTCTCCAGCCAGAATGACAAGGGACACTACGGCGAGGAAAAGAATGTGACAGAGGGCTAAGCGAGGTGGAAATGCCTCCAAAAGCGGCGGCCAAAGACCACCGAAAATGGATGCATTCCCACTGCCACAGAGAGGTAGGTATTTAACGGCAAACCAAATGGTCTGCCACTAGATATCGCCACCACTTGTAGGGAGGACGGCCGACCCGTACCTGCCGCAGGGTTGCCATGGACGTCCGCACTAGATGGCATTGCGAAGAGATATAAAGGTCATTATCCATGACAGGACGGCATGCAGCCTGAGATAGCGTAGTATCTTACCAAGCATAGCTACCATCAAGTCTCTGCTCTACCTGACCCCGCGCTCATGAGCATTGACGATCTGAGCTCCTCATCACCCTCAGAGATCAAACTGAAGCACCTTTCCACGGCCCTAATGATTACAGTGCTCATGCAACGAGCTGTTCGTTGTATGACCGTGCGATAGCTGTATTCCTAAGATATGCGGACCCTTCCGCCTTTGTACCTGCTTGCACTAACGGCGTTCTTCCAGTAACACTCACTCCACTTGCTAAAGCCTAGAATCAGATCTTTGTATTCTATATCATGCGTGCATGTATCGGTTGCGTTGTGCTCAAGAAGTACGACGTGGTGGGAAGAGTATGCATATTTTGGGGATATAGCTGTCGTACGGCCATACATTGAACAGCTTTTTGCATAAGCACTGCAATCATTAGAACCGTAGAAAGGTGCTTCACTTTGATCTCTAAGGGTGATGAAGAGTTTAGATTGTTGATGCTCATGAGCGCTGGTAAGAGTAGAGCAGAGGTCTAGTAGTAGCTAAGCTTGGCAAGGTACTACGCTATCCACGTCTGCGTGCCGTCATGTCATCAATAATCACCCTTCTATCTCTTCACAATGCCATCCAGTGCCGACGTTTATGGCAACCATGTGGCTAGTGCGGGTCGGCCGTCCCCTCTTGCTAGTGCGATTGAGGCGTTGATCTACTTTACCAGGGCTTAAGTGGTGAATATTCACTACGATTAAGTGCTCGAAGCTTCGCTCTAGCAAATTGGAAAGCTATATATCTATATTAACCCTCAACCCTCTCTATGCACTAGAAATTATAGAAAACACAGGTAAGTAGATCATCCCTACATAAGCACTCCAAATTTGGAGCGTGAGAATATGTTAAGCTGGACATTACATATCCACACTCTTCCGGTTCCAACACCAACTACAATCGTCTCTCCTGACACTGCGGAGCATGCCGGTCGATACTCAGAGGGGAGCCACAATAGATTCTCTGAATTATATGTTATCCATACGCCATCTGCGCTTAAAGCTAAGCCTTGATATTGAGGTCTCTGGAGTTCTGAATGGAAAGGCAATGGACTTGCAACACGTGGGGGAACATTAATCTCGATAGTGCCAATATCCGTGTGAAGGGATGAGCCAAAGATGTCAAATGAGATGCAGTAGAGTCGCCTGCCAATACTAAGTGTCTGGAGACACTCACCACTGCTCGCATCCCAGATCTTAACGGTGTTGTCGCTTGACCCGGATGCGAGCCGCGTTGAGTCGTGTGAGAAGGCGACTGACCTGACCCAATTGCTATGCCCCTGCAGCGTTGACAGGCACTCGCCATTGGTCGTATCCCAGATCTTGACTGTGTTATCGCTTGATCCAGATGCGAGCCGCGCTGAGTCGTAGGAGAAGGCGACTGAGTTAACCCAACTACTATGTCCTTCTAGCGTCGATAGGCACTCGCCACTACTCACATCCCAGAGCTTGACCGTGTTATCGCCTGACGTAGATGCGAGCCGCATCGAGTCGTGCGAGAAGGCGACTGACGAGACTGCACTACTATGCCCCTTAAGTGTTGATAGGCACTCGCCACTATTCGCATCCCAGATCTTGACCGTGTTATCGCCTGACGTAGATGCGAGCCGCGCCGAGTCGTGTGAGAAGGCGACTGACCTGACCCAATCACTATGCCCCTGCAGCGTTGAAAGACATTCGCCACTGCTTATATCCCAGATCTTAGCAGTGTTGTCGCTTGAAGCAGATGCGAGCCGCGTCGAGTCGTGCGAGAAGGCGACTAAGTTAACCCAATCGCTATGCCCCTTGAGTGTCGACGGGCGCTCACCGCTATTCGCATCCCAG